TGTTGGATTTATTTCTTTATGTTGTCAATCTTGTTACACATTGCTTCCTCATTTTCTTTAATCTATATACCTATATTTTCTTTGTCAACCCATCCGTTTTCATCATTAATTATTCTTCCTATCATCTTTCTTATTTTCATCCAATTTCTTACTATTTTCTCATCCGATTTTTTACTATATTTAAGGTTGCATGTTTTACTAGATATCCATCCATGCAATTGTGAGACCAGCCATTTTTTTCCTGCTGCCATTCTTAAACTTCAAATAAATATTTTATTTTTCTATATTAATATAATTTATCAGAATTTTATTAGTTGCCTTGCATTTTTTCTTTGTTCGCAGATTTCGGAATAGCGATTTTCTAAGATTTTTCCTTGCGAATTGCTAATTTAGAAAGCAACAGTACGCCATCTTCAAGTGACGAAGTTGTGATAGCGGCTGATGAGGAAAATTTTCCGAAAGGTATGACTTTCGGCGTTTTCGAGTTTCTTCCTAACAGGATCAACCAACGGTTGGTCATCTGCAAGAGCTGACATCAGTCCCTGATACCCCGAAGTCGAAATGTTAACAATAGGAAATAAACCGTCCACACCGACATTCTGTGTCTGTTCCCTTAGCTGCTGTGGCCGTATCGACATCAAAAAACTGAACCAAGCAACGTCATAGTAGATGGGGATGTTCCACCTAGGAATTCTTAGGCGAAATCATCTGGGGATATGGGTTCCTATTATTATTGGTACCCCAATTTCAGTCAATCATAGCACTCAAATAAAAATTAGCCAAAAAGTTCCAATAATTCTTGAATGGCTTATTCTAAACATTTGAATAGCAAACCACCAGTACCTCAACATTTTAGGTCGACAGATCTAGTTACCCAGCAATTTTCTTTCAAGACAATATAGGGGGTCGTTTTTCCTCTGTAATAATAATAATAATAATAGTCTCCCTAATCCACCCCCTTACGAGTGAATTTTAAGCCCAAAAGCTGAGCTTGTGCGGGAAAAGGGACGGCTATAATTATTATTTGCCGTGGCGCTCCGGGGCGACTTAAAGATGATTGATGGATCCATTTGACTTACAGGTGAGGAAAACCCGGAAAAATTTTCCTAAAATGGTCCGTATTCGAGAAATTTGACAAAATGTAAGTTCATTTTTTATAAAAATTGTTCAAATAAAAGTTTTTTGTTATTTAATTCTCTATAATTCTTATCATATACATAATTTCTCTAAAATGGACCGTATTCGAGATATTTCAGAAAATGTGTAAATTTCGAATTTTGAAGAATACTCAAATACGGATAAGGGAAAAAACATTAAATTATAAACTTAAGTTTAATTTCGGTCTGAGGTGAAATGATTAGATTTTGGACAAAGTCGGAACATCTAGGGCGTACTTTATGGGAGGCCGTTTTTATATTTTACGGAATATATTTGTTATTTATGTTTGGAAAAGAAAATCCTTCAAATAAAAGTTACTTATTATATTATTATCTATAATTTTTGTTCTATACAAAATTTTCCTAAAATGATCCGTATTCGAAAAATTAGACAAAATGTAAAAAAAATGTTTTTTTATAAAAATTGTTTAAATAAAAGTTGTTTGTAATATAATTATCTATAATTTTTATTTTTAGGCAAGTTCGGAACATCTGGGGGGTACTTTATAGGAGGTCGTTTTTATATGTTATGGAATATATGTAATGAATATCTATAAAAAAATGTTTCGAGTTAGATGTATGTGGAATATGTATATATTTAGTTTATCCTCTAAACATTTATAGAGGTGCTGCAATAGGTTATACAAAATAACCCTATAATAACCAGATAGGAAAGTCATGTATTGGACACATCAGATTTTTTTTTAAATATAATATTAATGTACTAACCTTTCACATTCCCGTAATGCTATAAAAAAATATCTTTAAACCTTTGGTCCGGTACTGTCTGTCGTTCTTAAATTTATTAGTATATATATTTTAAGGGAATAATTTTGGATATATCTGGTACTAGACCAAATAAAAAATAAAACAGTCATGTATATAAATTAATTTCTTTATTCAGGATTTAAGGATATGATTATATCCTTTTTAGTGCTTTTTTATGTACAGTATTCACATTTTGAAAGTTCCCCCTTCTGATTGTCTTTCAATATTTTTTAACAACAGAAGTCTACATGAGTATTATATAGGCATTTTTCATAAAAATAAATTAATTTTTAAGAATAACATTCATTTTTATCGAAATAGAGAATAAAAAAATATTCTGATTAGATTGTTGTTAAAATAATTTTATTAAGGTAAAAATGAACTTTATTCAAGTTATTCTCAAGGTATTAATCATGTATTAAATTACAAAAAGAATCTAACCAAACATACACAAAATATACCTCAAAATTTTAATAAATTTATTAAGATACTATACAAAATAGTATAATAAAATGGATTAATAAATAGACAAATTAATTACAATTTTTTACAATTATGGTACAGTATATTTTCTCGACTTTATACATTGCATTATTTTACTGTAAAAGGCACTCTATACACTGTAGAAAAATACCTAAACCATATTTCACTATAGAACTAAAAATTATTTACCTAGTACTTTTTCTATTGTTCTCTGTCAAACAGAAGTAACATTTTTACAACTCAAAATAAATCATATTTAAAAAGAGCAATAATCCGAGTCTTTAGAAAGTTCTATAGTAAAATATGTTATTTAATATGGCTGGACCTAGCCTATAAGGCTGAATGACTAGTAACACATTGATTATTTAAGTTATAAAATTTTTTTATTTTTGGCGAATTTTTCAAAAAAAAAATGTTTATCAAAAGTTTTTACAATTCAGACAAATAATTGTTCTTATAAATTCGATTCATAAAAACATTTGTTTGTACAAATGAAATTATTTTGGAAGCCGGGACTCTAAAAATTGTAATTCATATAACTTCAAAAATATCTCTGGATAAACATTTTTCTGTAAGTAAATATAGACATTTTAAATTCACAATTCTTCAACGTTTAAGTCAATTCATATCAGAAAATAATTTCTTAAATGTCCGAAAAGTCTTTACATTTCATTTAACTAACAAAATTTCAGGTAGAGCTATAATTGACAAATATTATGAGATATTGCTTTAATGCGAGGCAAACGGGCAGTATAAAGTATGAATAAATTATTAGAATTTTCCCTTTAGAATCAATTTTTCTTTTAGTAGTTCTATGAATTTTCCAGAATTGACTTAAACCCCTACAATCCAAATATGATGGTCATTCCCGATGAAATTTATAAACAAGAAAAGTAAAATGCTTTTTGGATAAATGTAAAAATTGAACATTATGGTCCCTGACTATGTAGACATTCTTGAAAATGTCTTGAAGCACCAAAATATCAATTATTTTAAGAATGTGACCCCTAAAACTACATCTTAGTTGCTCAAGATGTAAATAAGGCATTGCAATTTCTAGTAAACTGAATGTACACTTCATAAAGAATAAGTATTTACTAGAGGCTGAAAACATTAGCACTAGTCGCAATGACCCATATAAGTTAAAATATGCTTCCAGTTCGCCAAATTGTGGCACAAAAGCGTACTTTAAGCGCATTTTATTTAACAGTATGCCTGATTTTTGTACCATAACAATAAATACTTATTTGTTTTATAATTTTTTGTAAAGTATCTCATACTTTATAAAATTTACACTCAGTTTTTATATCAGTACGCATTTAATACTAGATTATATAAAAAATTTAATTTTTTTATCACTCGTATAGTATCAAAGTACATTCGAATTCGGAAGGCAAAATAGGTACCTTAATTTTTACGAAAAACTAGTACAATTTCGTCGACTACATATTATGAATTTCTAGTTTTTAAAATAGAAATTTTGCTAGGTGTGTCATCATAACTTAAAAAACAGTTGTTGTTCAAATAATGAATGGATAAGATCCTAATTAAAATGCAAATAGTACTCAAATTGGATTGATCAATTAGGGCGTAATTGCTCGATATTTCAAGTTTCAAATAAAAGTTACATGGATTTGAAAGTCATATTTTAAAAACATTTTTGAATATACAGGATTTTACGTTTTTCCCTGGCAAATAAAAATGTATATTTTTTAAATAGAACATCCTTTTATTTCAATTTTAGAATGGTCTGGTTATATTCAACCCTGGAACATTTTTAAAAAAATATTACAGGGATGCCAAGCAATTAATATTTTTTGTGAAATTAGAGAATGATGCAAACCCCAAATTAAATTATTATAATTTATGTAGGTTAACAATGCTTTCAATATTATTTAAAATACAGACTAATAAAATACCAAGCTAACGAATAATGGTGATAGAACTGGTTTATTTTATACAGAGTGTCTTGAAACATGTCTTAAATATGGCCAATTTTATACAACACTCTGTATATTATTTTAGCATAAAATTCCTTATAAATTTACCTATCCAACGATAGCAACAAGTTTGCCAATTATACATAATTGCGTAATTGAAAATACGAAGAAATTCTTAATATAAAAGTTGTATGGCCATATTTAACAAATATTATTAAATGTACAGGGTGGTTTCATAAACGGGAAGTTATACTTTTTAAAGCAAAACACCCTGTAGATAGTTACACATATTTGATTGTTTTCACATTGTCAAACAATTTTAATAGACTTCATTAATTTGCTATGTTGTATAAACTCAAAGTTGCGATTTTCTCAATTTTTTAAATGAAATACCACCAATTAATTTTTTTAATTTTAATTTTTTGCGTTTGTAATATCAAACACATTTTTGTTACTTCAGGAGAACAGAAAACCATTTGTTATTATTAAATTATGGGGTAAAAAAAATTTCAGACGTTTCTTTTAATAATTGTTATAAAATTTCCTGGAATTATCTAGGTGTTTTAAACTCTGTAACCTAGAACTACCGATGATAATAAGAATTCAAAACATTTTTATGAAGAATTAGGTTGAAAATAGGATTGTTTTATTTGAAGAATTATAAAAATCAATTAGATCTACCTATTTGTAGTTTTATAATTGACCAAAGTTTCTAAAGTCAATTACAATTAAATAAATGTAAATTTTTTATAAAAAAACCAACAAAATATTGAGAAATAATGTGTTTGGATAGGGAATGCCAAACAAAATAAAAACTAAAGAAACATATTTATAGATTGGTGGTATAACATACAGGGTATTGCAAGTATATTAAAATTGTTTAACGATGTTGGAACAACCAAGTCTGTTATCGAGATTATTTAGTCCAAAAAAGTATATTTAAGAATAATTGTAAAATATCGTCCTACAACTTTTGTATTAAACATTTCTTTGTATCTCCAATAATAAAACACCATATTTAAGACATGTTTCAAGTACTCTGTATAAATTAAACCAATTCTATTACCATTATTCGTTAGCTTCGTATCTTAAGTCTGTCAATAGCGTAACATCCTGTATATCCAAAAATATATTTAGAATATTCCTTTTTAAAATCCATACAACTTTGTTTAAAAAACTTGTTTCTGTGTCTATAAAACAAATTGATTTATCGAGCAATTACGGCACTAATGGGTCATGTACAAGGGCCAGTCATATATAAAACTGTACTGATCGAAAATCGAAATAAACTGTCATGCATAGAGTATGAAGGTAGGAATGTAGAAAGAGGATGCATGCTACAATAGCAAGAGGCTAGAGGTACCACCATCAGTTGCACAATGTATTATAATTAAATTGTTCACTAAAAAGGGCGTCATATCGTCCGACATTTTAACTAGGTTGCATGCACAGTTCAAAAAAAAAATCTGTAAAGTATTTTACCCAAACCTTCCATTGATATAAAAATTGTAAAAACAGGGAACTCCTAAGCACTTAAATTTTAATAATTTAAAATTAAAACCTCCAAACCAAAAACTATTTTTCACATTTCTCTCTCCATCGATCGTTCTCTAGATCATACCCGAATTCTCACTTCGCGTCTATTCGGTATTCTTCGCCACGATCACCGTTATTGAACAATAATAAATGACTGCTTTTAAAATGGTCCAGTTACACAAACCAAACGGACAATTTTTATTTTTTCCATTCAAGGAGTCCCTTTTCTGATTAAATACGATTTGTTTACGCCATTTTGAATTTTTAAAAAATTATTTAGGATCTGTAATATTTGACTCTCAGATACCAGTTTTAGACGAAATCTGCCGACTTTTAAAAATAATTTTTATTTTAAAAACTGCTCACCCTGTATATAACTGATCGGAAATATAACTGGTTTCGAGCCAGAAAGGAACCTTATCTCCATACAAAATTTGAAGTTTTTCTATAAAACCGTTTTTGAGCTATTGCGCTAATAGAAAGACAGACAGAATGGGGAAATATGTTTTTCGTAATCTTGGGAATCTGAAACGTGAAAATCTGAAGTAATCTCGGAAGGTGACTTTTTCACGATTAGAAAACTCATCGGATAGTTACGTGGGCACGTCATTATGCGTTCAAATTCAAAAGAGCCCAGTATGACGTGGCTAAAAGTGGGAAAAATTGTTGGCTTGAAAAATCCTTAAAACTATTTTTTGAGATTAGAGAGGAATATTGCTAGTTGATTTTCTTCATGAACGTTGTACTGTAAATGCTACATACTACTGTCAGCTTTTGGACGCTGAGAAGGTCGCATACACATCCAAAAAACACAATATCCCAATCTGACATGTGATTTTGCATCACGATGTTTGTCCTCACACACACAAAAAAAATTGGCTGAATTCCACTGGAAAATCTTGCAACATTCCCCCTATATATACCATGGAGTTGTTGCCCTGCAAATATCATTTGTTTGGGAAACTGAAAGAAACAATGGCTGGGCAGCGTTTTGAAATAACAATGATGTAGAGTGGTTCATGTGCAACCCGGTTGTTTCATAGTACCAAACTTTTTATGAGAAATGAATCAAACAAACTTCCTCGGCTTAGGCAAAAGTATGTAGATTTTCAAGCAGACTATGTAGAAACATTTTGAGATTGTTTTGAATTTTTATTTGGAATATATTAATTAAAAAAAAAACTTTATATTTGATTGACCCTCGTACATAAGTTTTATTGTTCACCTAATTAGTATTCATTAGTTATAGTGGATCTTGTTAAAATCTTAATTTTTTTAAGTTACGGTAACATTTCACAATTTTTAAGGTACTAATTTCAAAATGGTGGAACACAACAATTTTACAAATTACACTGACTTCCTTTTATTGACAGTTTCGAAACTATTGATTGTTTAATGGCTAAACAGATTTTACAATAAAACATTATTGACTTTGATTTTTTCAGATCACAAAAACTATATCCTCTAATGAAAAATTTTGATCGTCTACTTTCAAAACAAAATTTTCTATACACATGAGAAATTCAGATAATGATTGTATTTAACAAACGTTTAAAAATAGACGAGATATTTGTTTCAAATAGGCCTCAAATTATCCCAGTGATTACATAATAAAAGTCTAAAAAATTGACTATTCAAAATATTATTTGATAAATTTTCTGGATGTCAATTAAAAAGTTAATCCAAATATTTTTTTAATTATAAAAATATAATCCTTATCTGACAAAGCAGTAGTTACATTTATGCTTGCATATGGTTTTACGATTTTTTGTTCTTGGTTGATTTTTTAAATTTATTCTTCTCCAATTTGAACAATTTTTTAAACTTTTAATTCGTAAACAGTGCGAAAATCTGTAATACAAAAATCGGACGGAACTCAAGTTACACCACAAAATTAACCACCAACCTTTCATTCTGTATCAATATTTTACTTTCTCCATCATCACAATAATTAAAGTATATTTTGTACACAATATCCCCGAAAAATAGGAAAAATCAAACATTTACAGGCGATTTTGGCCAGTTACCAAATATGTTTTAATAATTTGAAATGTCATTTTACAGAAACTTAAAAACGGCACGAAATTGAAATTATCATAATTAATATTTCGAGGTTTATTTTTTAAATTGGGAAACTTATTGATTCACTAATTCTATAAATGATGAAATATTTATTTATTCTTATTCAGTTATTTTTTTTTTAACAATGAAAATTTGTTCAAAAACATTTCTTAAAAAAAATAAACAAAGGTTATTTTTAATGAAAATAAACCTTTAGATCAAAACCAACGCAGAAATATGTATAAGTCTTCTTTAAATGTTTGCCTAATCCTATTTACCGAATGCAACATCTCTTCAATAAAAAATAAAAAGTCCATTCTTCTCCTATGGCCAACCCCCTTGGTTGTCAATCACCTACAAGGCGCAAGTAAAATTTCTAACCAACATGGACACGACGTAATCTGTCGTCTGGAATATTTCTGGCCCCAGCCTTTGACGAAACTGATCCCAATGGAATTCGGATCGACTGGACCGATCTCAGGATGGTTGTAGCTCCATCCATTGTGTTGAGCCGCCTTGTGGGGATCGTAAACGCAAAGGCAGTGCTCGGCAGGTACACGAGTAGGTATGTGGTAGTTTGAGTCCTCTAAAGTCAGGGAATTGACGAAGATGGGGTGGTCTGAGCGATTGTACACCCAAACGCAGTCACCTTCTCGAGATAGTGTTACTCCTGGAACAAAATAAATCTGATTAAAATCACTATTTTGGAAATTAAGGGTATTACAAAATAAATGTTCTTTGAGATACTAAGTCAAATACTCATGAAAGACAAACACACTTCCAACTATTTTTATTACTTCTAGCAACGTTTAATATTTGATTTATGGTTGTAGTATAGTACATTTCTCTTATGAAGCCGCCGCTAGTAGACAGTCAAAAGAAACAGATGTTTCTTACAAAGGCTAGCACAGACTCTATTGGGGCATCTCTAAAATGATGAGGTGTACTTGTTCATCTCTTTAACATGAGGCGACTCTATTGATACATACACTCTGCATAGTCGAAACCTTTCAATGGCTGTCAGGCGTTCAGGTTGAATAAGTTTCGACATTTCAATTTGTACTGGCTTAACTCCATCTTCAATTTTAATGTAATTAATTTGTTTATGTTATTTTTAATGACAACTTATTTAGTTAATATCTATAGAGACGTTGTACATATGTCCTGTTTATCTTTTAAACTCTCATGCCATATGTATAATTTCATTCCTGACAATTAAGAAGGGTCCTGTGAAATGATTGTTGCTTTACATGACAGACTGATAGAGCGTTGGGGTAATCCATTCGTGAGATGAGCCTGAAAGATGCCAGCACGTGTCTAGAGATTTTTCCGCCTGAAAAAGCGTGGCGAGTTTATCCAAAGTGAAATAAAGTATCGTCCTTGTTCTGGATCCTACTGTATACCAGAGGAGGCCTTTATAAATGAAAGTGCATGTACATTTTTTCCCCGGATGTTCTCTTTATATACCTAGTCTTTTTTTTTCTCTTTTAAAAATCTACGATCTAGATGAAAATAAAATCTAGGCATTAGCTTAGTTTATGCCCCCCTCGACCTTTGCGGTTAGAGCAGGTATGTCGCCCCTCGCAGCGCCCCAGAAAAGCTTCGCCGCCTTCCCCCTTTGGTCTACACTACTCTACTGAATCTAGGTAGATAAATTTAAATTCATTTGAACTCACCTAATCCAATTTTACACCTAGTTTTTTCGACTGACTTGGGAGGACTAAAACTATGTTGAGCTAATGTTTCTAAACTAAAACCATCGGGATGGGACACGTCTCCAAAAACATTCACAGCCGGAGTTTCAACAGGAAAATGTGGACCAACGCGACTCGACAGTTCCCAGTACGCCAGCTTACACCATTCCAGAGGATTCACAGAATCTGAAACAAAAATAAATAAATGAAATTATCATTTGCTAAGGGGTTTTTATAATATCAAAAATACAGAATAAGAAACAGGTTGGAAGAGTATTCATTACATGTTGCCATTGTACTCCAACTATTGTATTTTCGTTATCACCAATTACTTTACGGAAGGATCTGGTGGGGTGATAAATACGCGGCTTTAGCCACAAAGCTGCATTACCTCGCTGACGGTTACAATCATAGATAACTCCTCTATAATATTTGTATTTACTGATAAATTTTCCTTCTCAAGCTTAAGTATATTTTTAGCTGGTGCATTTAACCTTTAAATCCATCCATTTATTGCCACAATAATAAATAAAAATATATTTCGTATTTTCTCGTTCAAGTACTCATTCATATTTCCCAACTCTAGGGAACAAATTGTCTTTGCATAAAACTAAAATAGTTAAACAAATATTTCTTTTTTAATTAGTAAACCACTGGATGTAAGAATGTAATTGTAATTATGAGAACAACCAGGTTGATTAAAAAATATAATTAATATAGAAATAGTTACACTACATTGTAAATACCTTTAAAATTCAATTTAAAAGCAACAACCAACGGGTATAAAGATTGAATATTAAATAACTAAAATTGTTTAATGTATATATTCTGAAAATAGAATCTTCTATGATAATTGATTACAACTGGATTAATATTTTCCAATTAACTTTATGTTTTAAAAACAATCGTGTCGGTTCTTTTTTAAATTCGGCTCATTATCTTAGTTGATAAACTTTTTTAAATTGTAAGATCACAAATTTGTGGTGAACCTTAAACTTATCGAAGAAAGTAGATTTATTTCGTATTAACATTTAAAGTTAACTCAATATTTGTTATGGTTTTTTGAATATCGCTTAGTCGGTTTTTAATATTTGTAATAAATAATATTATGAAAACGCAATTGTAATAAAGAATAAAACTAAATCAAAATATTTCCAAATTAGTGACAAGTAGAACAAGTGTTCTTATATACTTTTGTTGATTTTATTTAAAATTTATTCTATTCCTCGTATACCCAGTTTGGGAGTTTTTCGAGATAATATAAGATAGGTATGCTCCTTACTTTTAAAGAAAACGCAATGGATAATAATAGTCATGACTCTAAAGCAAAGGTGATAAACATGTAATTTGCTTCCAAACAAAATAATGTTAACGAGACAACTGTTAAGACAACAAGACTCTAAAAGCGGGTTCGGATATGATTTGTATCTGTAACGTGTGGAGGGTGGGTTACCCCCATGGCACTTAGGCCTCACTAGGCCCATTGTGAACCCTCCTAAGATGTTAGGCACCTCCTAGCTCGTGAGCCAGACTACAGATTTAAAGTAGTTGACAACGTCGCCAAAAGGTGCTTCTCTTATATCGCCGATCACAAATCTCCTAATAATTGAGAACATCGAGCAATCGTAGAGGATATGCTCGATGGTCTCTCATCTTGTTCGCACCCTCTACAGAATGCGGATTCTGACAGCCCCATGATATGGAGATGCTTCCGTACTTGGCAATGACCAGTCAGAATGCCTGTGACTAGGCGCAGATTCTGTCTAGTCATAGTCAAGTATTTGTTTGCTGCAGTGTTGTCAGGAAAACTTAAAGGCCCCCTGGCAACTTTGCAGTTTCTTGTTTCATGCCATCTTTCCTTGAATTTCACAAGTAAATGGTATTTAATTAGGTCTGTCGCTACCGATTTTGTCAGGCCAATAGAAGGGCCAGGTCCAAAAAGTCTATGGTTGGCTGCTTCCTTAGCCAGTGAATCAGCATATAATATTCAACCTTTTATTTTTTTACTGTAAAGGTAGTTTATTTAGATAAGTTTGGAAACAAAACATTTGAAAAGTTTTCTTTGGAACCAGTGAATATTCATTTAGGTTTCATATATAATTTTCTTGGTCTTCCAAACTTTCATACCTACAATTACGGCTCCATGACAAAACAGCGCAGGATAAAATGGCGCAGGACAAAATAGCGCAAAGTCAAAATATTGCAAGGACAAAATAGCGCAAGGACAAAATAGCACGTAACGAACAAGATGTTTTTTAATTAATGAAATTCATTAAAATAATGCGTAACAAATAATATTTGGACGATGCCTATGTAGAGAATCTGTGGACTGTAGCTTCGTCTCTCTCACATTTTAGGATCCGACCCATTTTTGCTCGAAACAAAGTTGCTGCGAAAAATTTGCGCCGAGACTAATACATAAGAGACAAGGCAGCGCCTGATATAAATAAAGTGAGACCAATTAACGCTTAGTCTAATTATACCGAATGAAGTTAGCACTTTTTCATAGAAGAGTAAAATAAATTAACGCGTGACACAATATGTCAGTATTCTAAATAAAATTAAAAAAAAACCAAAACTAATTTATTTAACCTGTGCTGCCTGGAGCCATGGCGGGTTGATGCATATGGCTCCAGGTGGCACAGGTTAAGTAAATTAACTAAGTTTTTTTTTAATTTTAACTAGAATACTGGAATATGTTGATACGCACTTTTATGTTCTGCGCTATTTTGTGCTTGCGCTATTTTGTCTTGCGCTATTTTGTCCTGCGCTATTTTGTCTTGTACTATTTTGTCCTTGCGCTATTTTTGTCTTGAGCTATTTTGACCCTGCGCCATTTTGTCCTGCGCTCTTTTGTCATGTAACCATAATTACATATCACTTAGGAGACCAAAGAACAGTTGAAAGTTTTGGGTCAGAAAACTTTAAAAATTAAATATTTTTTTAAAACGATAACGTATAAGGCCTCTATTTGAAGAGTCTTCCTTTAAATTCTGCATAAATTTACTAGATAATTTAGTATATCATGTCAGTGATCTATTCTTTTTCCAACGTTTTTCATTTAGAATTGGCCTTCCTCTTCTTCTTTCTGACTGCAATACATGCTTACCTTTTCTTGAATTTTCCATTCTCAGTAAATGGCCTCATCTACATTCTTATATATTCTTATCTTGGATACAGATCTTTTGGTTACTATATAATACCTTATACTCCCTTAACACTTCTTAGATACTTCATTTATACTTCTACTTCTAGGTTAGTATATGCAGGGGAGGCTTGGTTAGTGAATAACAAATTAATTAGCAGAAATAAACGAACTTAAAGGAAAAGCAAAACGATAGGATAATGAAAATATAAGAACCGAACTTAATCAAGAACCAATAGCATTAAAGATCGATAAATTGGTACATTAAAAAGTAAAAAACAGATACTTTAATAAGGGAGGTACCTGAATCAAAAGAAAATAAGAGGAAAAACGATAAAAGAAATTAACGAGACGATGAAGAGCCAGAGAATATGGTATAGTTAACACAGAGGACACCTCCAGGAAAAAAGAAAGTTTATAATGAAAATACACATTTTAGCACGTAGACGTAATTTCGATTTCATAGAGACAGTTTTCTTGGCACTTCCTACCTAGACTTACGCCTGTCTCTCTTGAGAGGTCATACAACCGTCTCCATAAAAACATTAATTAGATAGAGAAAGTTTCTAGTACAATTTTTTTTCCATTTAATATAATTCGTCTAGCCTGTCTTTAATCTAGCACGAGCATTCCTAGACACAATCGTAATCAAATTATAGGTAAACATCGGTGGCGACAGTCGGCCGAGAGTTCGCCACGCCACATCGGACTCTTTTGCATTTCGCATATTTCGGCGGAATAAGTAGCAGCAGATTTCCTAATTTATAAAAGTTGGCTATCGGTATAAGCGTGACATTGATAGGCACGGCACGCAGCGGGGGCAGCGAGGAGAATCATTGGCGCCAACCTTTTTATTTTCAACGGTTTTTTTTAAGTCGAACAATTAAGCTAACAGTACCAAACCAGCTGACTCGAACATGATTCAAGTATTTTACAGCTATTTTGCATTAAGTGATAGAAATACCCCAAGTCCTCTGACAAAAGAGTATCGCATTTTTAGTTGCAGTTTGCACGTGTCTTATTTCAGTTGCGCTTTGTTGTTGCTTAGCAGCTTAAACTTTATTAAGGTGCGTTTACACGAATACAAGAAGTCATATTAAAAAAAATGAAGATTACGTTTTATATTTTGTCTACAAATACTAGAACAATTTACTTTCGTACTTTATAAATATCCCAGCTGAACATCGGTCGTTCGCGTTTATAGAATTTTTAAAGATAATCCAAAACAGGTGCATATTCGTGAAACAGATTCTTTGTTAAAAAAATATATTATAACAAGAGGCAAAAAAAATATTTATTTTATAACTCATATAATTTTTTTTAATCAGTATAATTTTCTTCACAATTGGATTCTGATTCAGACTCATCACTACTTGCCGTTGTACCTAAATTAATAATAATTGGTTCTAGATCAGAATCATCTAATTGCTTGTATTTTTCCCAATCGGAAACAATTGTTTTTAGTGTGTCTTATATAATTGTCTCATTGAGTCTCTGTAACATAACAAAGCTTCTGACCAAGTCTGAGATACATCTTCGGGTGACGACTTTGTTGTTACAATTTTTTCGTCATAAAACCGTTTGCACTGTGACCACACCATCTCTGTCGCATTATACTGGCAGTGATATGAAGGAGTTCTTAAAATTGTATGCCCATATTCCTCAACATATCTATCTAGGTGGAATTCTTTTCATGGTAGATTTTGACGTACAACTTCCCAAATCTGATATTTCATACCATTGATTGGATGATGTTCTTTTCCTGCAACCATTTTACCTTTTTCTTTGGTCCAACTATAACATGAATTGGTTCAACGTACCGCGAATGGCTTTATCGATTATAATCAAAGAAGGATGTTCCAGACTAGGTACAAATTTCGTCTTAAACCATTTTTCAAATTTTTTTGTGTTCATATTATTATAGTAATTCCCGCTTTTTGTTTGACTTTTAAATATGAGGTCTGTACAAACCCTTCTTCATTGCCACCATGGATAATTATATATCGAATTCCAACTGCTGTTTTTTTACTTGTAGTAGCCA